GAGGCTCGACTATGCATCTCGAACAAGTCCACGATCATGGCCCTCGTCGTGATGCCAGCATGGTGGAGGAGGCTCTGGAAGACATCGGGGTCAATATTAAAAGGGGCAAAACCATGAAGGGCCTGGGGGCCGACGTCACCATGGGGGAAACGCGCGCGAGAACTACTGCGAGCAAGCGTGAGCGGCTGGGGCGACTGAGGGCCTCGCGGGCCCATGTCTTTGGACTGCTTGGGGCAGCCCGTAGGAGAAAAACGTATTCAGCTGTGCAATACTAATATAAGCGCCAACTTGTCATATGATAATCCGATTGTTGGCCCCCCCCCCACTGAGATCCGTCGGCGCAGAGCTCTGGCTGCGGACCTGGCGGGCTTTGGGAAGAAAGGGCGGCGCATGTCCATGGCCATGCTGCTACTGTACGGGGAACGGGAACCCTGGGCCATGAGCGTCAGGCGTCAGGCCAAGGAACGGCTTGTTTCTTGGACCCAGAACCCAAATCTCAGGCAGCACGTGCGCAGGGGGTGGGCTGCCACTAACCTGAGGCTAGCGCGCCTGAAGTCTCGGGCCCGTTGGAGAGCCTGCGCTGGGCCCAGGGGGGCGATCATTCTAACCCTTAGGTCCCCGGGGCGGGTTGGGATTGAGCCTGGTCGGTGAGGCGGCCCCGAGGGTTGTGAATGGCGATTCAATCCCGATCTGTCTGGTGATATGATTGAATTAAGTGAAGCCTGAGTTGAGTCTGCCAGGCGCCTCCTGTGGGAACAGGCTTCCAAGCATTCTGAAGGGGGTTGTTTAAAAGCTGATGGGGGCGATTTAACCATGCTTCGCAAAAACCTCCCCAGGATGCTCAAAACAGATATGCACCAGGAGGCTGGGGCCCTGGAGGGGATCGTTTGTGGATCGTTGTGGCATGGGGATCGCCATCGCCGCGCTGGTTACAGCGCGGAAAGCCTGCGTGAAAAGTGCGATCTCCGATCTCTGGACACCATCCGCCATCGTGTTTATGAATGCCCCTGCGTTGCTAACAGTGAGCACCCCGGGATTCAGAGGACCAGCTACAGGTGTCAGCGAGCCTTGGCAGACCTCGACAGCGAGGTTAACGAATCTCTGTGGCTGAAGGGCACTGTACCACACTCGTGGAATCAGGTGACCCCGCCGCCAGCTTGGGGAGATACAAGAGCGTGGCGAATTCGCGCTGTCGATGCCCCTGCCCCTGACCTGGACCCAGCTGGAGAGACTCCCCAATCCTGGACCCGACCCAGGGCTAGAAAAGCTTTTCTGGATGGCTCTGGTTCGAGTTAGGACCCCAGGCCGGTGCGTGTCGGATGGGGCGTGTACCTCCAGATGAGCCCCCTCCCCCTCGCTTGGCCGCGTGGCTCCTCTGAACCTGACCCCGCCCCTGGGTGGTATGGAGGTATCGACGGCAGACAGAGTGTCCCTGCCGCCGAGCTGGCTGCATTGTGGCGGTGCCTCCGACTCACGGAGGGCGAACTTGATGTTTACACCGATAGCCAGTACGTTGTTGATGGTTGTCGGGGGTCTCTTGGAGCGGCCTTCGGGGGCCCAGAGGCTCTGGTGGGAGAGGATCTCCCAGGCTGCCCGAGCCCGTACCGACCACATCAGATTGCACAAGTGCTGCTCACATCTCGACGCTGTGTCCCATGCGCGTCTCGGCCAAAGTGTTGAAACCTCGCGCGGGAATGGTATCGCAGATGCATTTGCTCAGCTTGGGGCCCAGGAGGCCCACGCGAGGATTTCTAGTCAGGTCCGCCACCTGCATCAGGGAGATGCGAACGCGACGCTGGTACACCAGCGACTGGCCACCGAGGCGGCCGACCAGAACCGCCCCGCGCTCGAGGCGCCAGAAGGGGGAGGTGCGGCCACTCGGCGAACTGTGGCCTTCGAGCAGCGCTCGGGCCACACGATGGAGCGTGTTGCCAAGAGAAGGTGGGTCTGTTCCGTGTGTCGTTCGGGCCCTGGGAGGTCCTCGCTCGTTGACTGGCTTGAGAAATCCCGATGTCGTGGGGGCCTCTCTCACCGCGCTCTAAGTGATGCTGGTAACCCCGTCCTGGTGCCACCCCGTGCTGTGCGCGAGATCAGGACCCCATCCAGGAGCGTCCATCCCTCGCACACTGTGGCCATGAGGCATGGCCTGGTCTGGTGCTGGAAGTGTGCACACTACGGGAGTGTGGTTCGAGGGGGGGGCTCCTCTTGCTAGCACAGGAATGCGATGGTAAGATCACCCCCTCGGGTGAACAGTGCCTGAGGAATCTCAGGAACGGCAAGCCTCTCAAACCAGGGAAGCCCTGGCACATCCCCCCGCGTGCTGAGAACCAGGGGGTCCAAAGGGGGCTTGCCCGTTTGTAATTAATGTGTGAAGAAGTCCCGTAAGTAAGTATACTGAGGGCCATCCTCTCTGGAGGATGTGACTGCCCAGTTGTGCCTCTGGTACTGTCCTGGGGACCTGGTGTAATCTCCCATGTAATCTCCTCCCTCCTCCCTCCTCCCTCCCTCCTCCCCCCCCCTCTTCCCTCCTCCCTCCCTCCCTCCTCCTCCCTCCTCCCTGCTCCTTCCTCCCTCCCTCCTCCCTCCTCCCTCCCCCTCCTCCTCCTCCCTCCTCACTGCTCCTCCTCCCTCCTCCCTCCCTCCTCCCTCCTCCTCCCTCCTCCCTCCTCCTCCTCCCCCTCCCTCCCTCCTCCCTCCTCCCTCTCCTCCCATCCTCCCTCCTCCCTCCTCCTCCTCCCTCACTCCTTCCTCCTCGCTGCTCCGTCCTCCTCCTCCTCCCTCCCTCCCTCCCTCCCTCCCTCCTCCCCCCTCCTTCCTTCCTTCCTTCCTCTCTCCTCTCTCCTCCCTCCTCCCTCCTCCTTCCTCCCTCTTCCCTCCTCCCTCCTGTTCCATCCTCCCTCCTCCCTCCTCCCTCCCCCCTCCTCTCCCCTCCCTCCTCCCTCCTCCCTCCTGTTCCCTCCTCCCTCCTGTTCCCTTCCCCCTCCCTCCTCCCTCATCCCTTCTCCTCCCCTCCTCCCTCCTTCCTCCTCCCTCTTCCCTCCTCCTCCTCCCTCCTCCCTCCTCCTCACTCTCCCTCCTCCCTCCTTGCCTGCTCCCCTCCCCCCTCCTCCCTCCCTCCCTCCCTCCCTCCCTCCTCCCTCCCTCCCCCTCCTCCCTCCTCCTCCCTCCGTCCTTCCTTCCTTCCTCCCTCCTCCCTCCTCCCTCCTCCCTCCTCCTTCCTCTCCTCCCTCCTCCCTCCTCCCTCCTCCCTCCTCCTAACTCCCTCTTCCCTCCTCTCTCCTCCCTCCTCCCTCCCTCTCCCTCCTCCCTCCTCCCTCCCCTCCTGTTCCCTCCTCCCTCCTCCCTCCTCCCTCCTCCCTTCTCTCCCCTCCCTCCTCCCTTCTCCCTCCTGTTCCCTCCTCCCTCCCCATTCCCTCCTCCCTCCCTCCTCCCTCCTATCTGCAGGCTTCCTCCCCTCCGGCCCCCGTCTCGGAGGCCGCCCTCGAGGCCCCAGGAGCGGCCCCAGCGGCCGAGGTGCACGGGCCTCATCGGAGCCATCGACTCCTCGGGCGCCTGGGACCGAGGCTCCCGACACCATGGCTTTTGTTCGGGACCCGACCCCCAGGGGTCCCAACCCATTCGCCGGGACCAGCTCTTCGTCCCGAGTCGTGTGTCTTGATGGTTCCGAGGCCCGGCGAGGGCCCCTGGAGGCCGAGAATAAGGAAAAATCCCCCGCCGCGATCTGTTCACGACGCGAGGGGGTCTGGGGACCCTCGAGCCTCGCACCTCAGCCCTCGAACGCCAGGGGGCGCGCGCGCGCTTCTGTGGGGCGCGGCCGGCAGAAGGGGGGCAAGCGCGAGGGCGTGCTGCAGCGTTTCCCCCGGTGGCGGGCGAGGCGAGGGCGGCCGCCGCGCGCCGCCTGCGCTGTCGGGAGCAGACCGCTTCTGGGCTTGTGCTCGGGAGCAGGCCGAGTCTTGCCATCGCTCGGACGCCCAGTCCCCGTGCCTCGTGTCGGCTTCGCGCATGTTGATTTTTTGCCGCGCGAGGATCCAGGATGCTCCTCGATGGTCCTCGCCAAGGAAAGAGGCACACGTCCGAGCGATGCCAAGAGGTGCGAAGAACGGTGCTGGGCGCGGTCTGATGGGGGCAACGATCGGCGGCACGGAAGGGTGCGGTCTGCAAGAGGTGCGGATTGCAACCCGCATCCAGGGGGCGGGGGGGGCACCCTGGGGCGCGGGCGGGGGCCTCGACAGAGCTCTCCGCCGCGACCCGAGGAGGCCCGACGAGGGCAGCGTCGAGCCCCCGAGGCCCCCAACGGCGCCGATCGCAAACCACACCCTGGTGCAACCGCACCCATATTTCAGCCGAGGAGGCGGACGAGGAGGAGGGCGAGGAGGAGGAGGGGGAGGAGGAGGAGGTGGAGGAGGAGGAGGAGGAGGAGGAGGAGGAGGAAGAGGAGGAGGAGGAGGAGGAGGAGGAGGAGAAGGAGATGGGGGGAGGAGGACGAGGAGGAGGAGGAGGAGGAGGAGGGAGGAGGAGGAGAAGGAGGAGGAGGAGGGCATGGTGCGGGGCCCCATGCCCTCCTCCTCGGGGGGCCCGAGGGGCCCCTTTTTGGGGGCCCTTTTTTGGGGCTCCACGGGGCCCCTTCGGGCACCCGAGGTTTGCACGAGAGGTGCACGGCTCTTCGCCCCCCCATCCCCCGCCCCCCTGTACAGTCGGGGCGCTGAAGAAGGAACCCTTTTTCGTCGGGAAGGGGCTCGGTGTTCCTGGATTGTTTCAAAGTTTGCCTTGGGCTTTCCTTGGTTTTCCATGAGAAATCGAGGCTGAACTTATGTAACAAAAGGTGCCTCGTTCCTTATCTAGGGTTCCTTAGGTCAACGCCTCGACTGTACGCAACGCCCGAAGGTAGTAAGAACTCGTCAGTTCCGAGGAGTCAGCACACTTGCCGCACACACACACACACAGAGGCGCTTGGGCGGCGCGTCCCCCATCGCAGTGCGTTGACCTCCTCGGCTGTCGGG